TCGGCCCTCCCGTGGCCGGCCACGCCGGGCTCCCTCGCGCGTGCACGCGTGTGTGTCCAGCGTGTGGTCTCCGGGTGTTTCCATGCGTGGATCCAGCGATGCTCAGGAGGAGAAAATGTACACAGGCACGATTCATCGTCGTCTCCCAGGAAAACAGGAGAAAATATGGGAAGTGGGGGGAAGACGAAAGCCAAGAACATATGGGAAAGTATCAAGGAATCCTGGGAGTGGTGTCTTTTTTTTGATGTGTGTGTGTGTCCCTGGGCCCCTCTACATGAGTGCTTCCAGTTTCCTGGTAATGCAGCGCTTCTCCCTGCTGCTCCGCCTGTGGTCTCGCTGTCGGCCGCAGAGGTGTCTCTTCCGTCAACGCCTCACGGCACAACAGATGTTTGAAACCCGCTGCTCGGCGTTGAGTACCATGAGGCTTCGATCCCCTCTTGGTATTGGCGCTCCTCCCTTCCTACTTGGGAGAGAAGATCCACTCCTCCTCCTGCCCCTTCTCTCTCCGACTGGACTGAGGGTGCTGCCTGATCGCATTGGTGGCGACTGGGACACTGGAGTGTCATACGAACCCTCGGAGGCGAACGTTGGCGTACGGACCCGTACACAGGCCGGGCATCGCTCAATGTCGCAGAGTGCGTATCAAAGTGCTCCGAATGCTGAGCTGCAACGAGAAGGCAGCACAAGCTTTGGTCACCACACTAGATGGGATGTAGGAGGGCGCGCCTCTGGATGACCCCAAACCCCCCCCCCCCTTTCCCCGATCCGTCGTCGGGGACCCCCCCCCTCCCCCCCTTTCCCGATCCGTCGTCGGGGAACCCCCCCTCCCCCTCCCCCCCTTTCCCGGTCCGTCGTCGGGAACCCCCCCCCCCTTTCAAAAGGGGGGGGAGGGGTTCCGACCCCCCCCCCCTCCCCCCCCTCTGGCCGCCAAATTCGCCCCCCCCCCCCCCCCCTCCCCCCCGTTCCCCTTCGCCACGGCGCCCCCGGTCTCCGGAACCCGACCCCGACCACCCCTAACACGAATCATCACCCTTACCCTAACTCCAACCCTAATCCCAAACCCAAGCCCTAGCCCCAAATAGCACTCATTACGCATTACGCACTACTCACTACCCACACTTCACTATTCGCTACTCCCTTCTCACGACTCACGATTCACTACTCACGACTCACTTCTCGTATCCACTCCAAACTACTCATTACCCACTACTCTGTACTCACTACTCACTAAACACAACGCACAACCCATCACTCACTAATCACAAATCACTACTCACTACCCACTAGCCACCATCCATTATTCACTACTCACACTTCACCACCCAGTGCCCGCAATTCACCACTCACTACCCACTACTCGCGACTCGCTATTCCCTACTGCGTACACAGTATCCACTACTCACTACTCGCTAGTCCCAACGCCCTATTCGCTACGCGATACGCATTATTCTTTACCCACTACTCATTACTCACTACGCTCCCACTACTCACTACTTCCTACTCCCTACTCACTACTCCCAACGCACTACTCACTACTCGCTACCCTGTACTCAGTACTTTCTTCTCACTAGACACTAGTCACTGCCCACTACTCAATATTCAATAAGCACTACTCACTACCCACTAACAACTGTCCACTACCTACTACTGAGTACTCACAGTTCATTACTCAATATGCGCTTCCCACAACGCAGGACTCACTATCCGCTACTCGCTACCCAACACGAAATATTCACTACCCACAACGCACTACTCGCTACTTACTACTCCCTATTCACGAATCCTTAGTCGCAAGCCGCTACTCATTACTCACTACTCACGACTCACTACTCAATACCCACTTCTCGCTTCTCACTAGTCACTACCAACTACTCACGGCTCCCTACTCACCATTCACTACTCGCTACTCCCTAATCGCGACGCACTACTCCCTACTCACTTCTGACTCCTGACTGCTCCATCCTCACTAGTCATTACTCACGAGGCCCTACTCGCTATTCACTAGTCACTACTCGCTACTCCCTACTCGCTACTCACTACTCACTACTCTCTACGCACTGCGCATTACTCACTACTCACTACTCACTACTCATTCCCCGCTTGTCGCAACTGTCTACTCCCTCATCCCTAACTCCTGTTGAATACCCACTATGCAGTACTCTCTACAAACTACTGCCTCCTCACTATTCACAACTCATAAGTCCTTACTCTCTACGTCCTTCCCATTACTCACTACCCATCACTCACTACTCACTACTCACTAATCTCTACGCACTACTCACGACTACCACTACCCATTACCCACTATTCTCTGCTCCCTCCCTACCCACGATTCACTGTGCACTACTCACTATCAAATACCCACCACTTACCAATCGCTGCTCAAAACACTTACTCTACTCTCTACTCACGAACCCCCCTCCCCTTTCCAGCGCCAAGGGGAGAGGGGGAGGGGGTCCGGACCCCCCCCCCCCTCAAGGGGTGGAGGGGGAGGGGTTCGGAACCCCTCCCCTCCCTTAAGGGGGGGAGTGGGGGGGAGGGGTCGAAAATCTCACCCCCTCTTTGAAGGGGGGAGGGGAGGGGCTCTGCGAGCACACACACCCTTTTGTGTATTCAGGGCAATCCACTGGCGCGTTTGCGGGATGTAGGCCTTGCGGGAGCACCTTGGCTTGGCCAAGGAAGGTGCGGGAGAGAGACAGGATGGGCGATGGTGAAGAGGGGCTCAGAGGTTGCGTTCCACATCCGTGATGTAGATTAGGGGGCGCCTTGAACAAAACCTGGCCGCGGCACTAACAGCCTGCGCCAGGGGAGAGGCATGGAGAGATGGGCATGGAAGCAGGCGCAAGCACGAGAAGGAGTTTTTCTCATAGAATCGTAGGTTGATTCCGTTGGGCCAGTTCTCGTATTGCGCATTATTGGTTATTGGTTGCGTTGCTTGCTTCCAGCGGCTACATGTTATCGCCGACTAGCACTTGAGCGAAGCATGATGCAATTAGGCAGTGTGGTCTTTGCCAGAATGGAGCGCGGCAAGGCCTTCCCCCAGCAGTCATGATCATATCTCGGCCGACCTTCGCGTGGATGAACAATACCAAGTCCCGACCCGCGCCTCCTGTTGAACCTGCCCGCTTACGAATGTTGCTTGTCGTCATTCGTCAATCTCTTTATCTCGTTCTCTCTCGGTCGCTCGGTATCTCTACTCGTTGTTTCTCCCCCATAGTAGGTAAGACTCTCCCACTAGGCATCCCAGCTTGCCCTAACCCTCGAACCCAGCATTCGACCCTTCTTCCAGTGGGCATCCCAGCACCTCTGTAGTACTCGTGTACGGTTGTAGTTCGTTGTGCAGGCACCACGCACGCACTGCAATCCAATGTCTCGATATGGTGCGCTGTGTAACGCGTCTGGGTTGGAGAGGCCTTACGGTCGGTGCCACCAACCCTGAACGACCACGACGACGGCGACGGCGACGACGACGACACTGACGACGACGACGACGACGACGAAGATGACACCGACGGCGGCGGCGGCGGCGAAGATGGTGAAGACGACGACTGCGACGGCGACGGCGACGACGACGACACTGACGACGACGACGACGATGAAGATGACACCGACGGCGGCGGCGGCGAAGATTGTGAAGACGACGATGAGGACGAGGACGACGACGACGACGACGACGACGACGACGACGACGACGACGACAGCGACAGCGACGACGACGAGGACGACGACGACGACGACGGCGACACCGACGACGACGACGACGACGACGACGACGACGACAACGAGCGCTCTTGGGGGGCCTCTTGGGAGTAGTTGTTGGGCATTTGGGGGGGCTTTCTCGGGGCCTCTTGGGAGCCTCGTGGGGTCCTGAGGGCCTTTTGACCGTCCTGAGGGCCCCCCGAGGTCCGGCATTCTTACCGCGTCTTGGCGCATTCTGGCCTGCGGAACCGCCCCGGGGGAGGATGCGCATCTGGGTGGGGACCCCCCCGCCGGGGACCCCCCCCCGGAACACCCCCCCTCCCCCAGGCCGGGAAGGGATCAAAGGGAAGGGGCTTCCTTTCGACTCAGTTACGACGTTGCTCAATGTCGCTCTGGCTGGAGCGCTTTAGGAGGAGGGCCCAGGGAAAGTATACGGGGACGACGGAGGCGACGAGGAAACGACGGAGAAGATACGACGACGACGACGACGGCGTCGACCAACGGAAGAGCGTCCTCCACACGCCGACAGGATCGGCGAATTCTGGCACGGGCGCAAACCCTGCATAAACCCCCCAAAAGCCCGGCCGCGCCAACGAGGCGCCCGCCCACCAGGCGGCACGAGCAGCAACGGGGTGCAATCGCGCCATGCCCAACCCATTGTATCGAAGACGCCTGCAGTGGGGGCCCATGCCAGGAAACACCCTGCTGGCCTCCAGGGGGCCCTGGGTTTCTTGGGTCTCGATGGTGTTGTTATGGACAGCGCGACGCTCCCACACCAAAAATCAAGGGACGTCTTGGGGTCTCAGGGTTGGGTTTCTTGTGGAAGGTTTCTTGTGGACTGGCCCCCACGGTATTTTATCGAAGAAGCCAACGGGGAATCACCGCCGCCCCATGCCTTTTGGAATCGTCCAGGTGGCCGAGCGTTGTGGCAAGAGGTCTGCCAAGCTGTCGGACCACGTGTTCCCCCAGCCGTTGTGGAGACCCTTCGGTGAACACTTGGGGGAGGATGGTGGGGAAGATCAGGAGGAGAGGGGGCATCTTGGGAGCCTCTAGGGGCACTCTTGTGGCCTCCTGTGAGCTTCCTGGGAGCCTCTTGGAGCCTTCTTGGGGGCCTCCTTGGGCCCACTGGGGGCCTTTGGGGGCTTGTTGAGGGGCCTCTCTGTCGACTTATGGCGTTCCTGGCCAGTCTGACGCCGTCGGAAGCCGTCTTGGGGGCCTCTCTGGGCCGATTCGGGGCCCTCTTGGAGTTGTCCAGGGCCGCCTTGAAGCACATCTTGGGCGTTTTGGAGACAGATTGGGCTGTATGGAGGCCTTCTTTGGGCCGTCTTGGGGGCCTCTTGGGCCTTTCTGAGGCCATCTTGGGGGCCTCTTGGGCGATCATGGGGTGGTCTTCGGAGATCTCTTGGGCCATCTCGGGCCGTCGTAGGCCCCAAAAGAAGCACATGCCAGCAACCTTCAAACACTTATTGACGTAACTTATTGAACATCAATGAGTTGGGCCTCTTCGGGCTTTCCTGCAGGCCCTCTTGAGGGCATCTTGTGCCGTCTTTGAGGCCGTCTTGGAGGCTCCTTGGGCGGACTTGGAGGCATTTTGAACCTCCTTGGGCCGTCTTGGGGCACTCGTCGAACCTCTCGAGCTGTCTTGGAGGCCATCTTGGGCGAACTTGGAGGCTCTCTTGGGGCCGTCTTGGAGGGTTATTTGGCCGCCATGGGGTCATCTTGGAGGCCTTTGGGCCCATCTTGGAGCGATCTTAGAGGCCTCTTGGGGCGTCCTGGGCCGTCAGAAGGGCGAACAGAAGCGAATGCCAAAACTTATAAAAACAAAAACAGCAGAATATCAATGGACTCGTCGGGCCCTCCTGGAGGACCTCTTTGAGGCCTCTCCTCCTTGTCTTCCTAGCCCGCCCCATCTCCCTCTGCGCAGGTCTGGGGTCATTCCCTCCCCCCCTCGGGCAGATTGTGGGCCAAGAGCTCCTGGTTTGCACCCGTCGTTATCCCACCTATGTTGTTAACGTCGGTCCCTCTTTTGGCCCTAGCATGGGATGGACAAGGGGTACTTTCATGTGTGGTCATTCGTACCCAGCTGTCTGCGGAAAACCCCGCCATCGACTTAACGCAGCACCGAAACATGCGCAGGCCGATTGCAGGTGAAGGGAATTCTGATGTGGACCGACGACTCGATGTGATTGGCTTATTGTTTTTATCAGATGGCTTCTTCGAGGCTCATTGCGGCATCTTGGAACGTGTTGCGGCCTCTGTCTGAGAAGGAAAGGAATACGCAGTTGAGTGGCAACCGCACCTCCATGTATGCAATGGCGAGTTGGGAATCCTTCTTGAGAAACCACAGTAACATGATCACCCACCTGGCATGCCTTCTGACGCATCCCAGCATGCTTGTGGCAATATTCCCCATCATCAATAAGTGTAGCGACGGTGGGGAGGAGCGCGACGTCGTCTGTACGTGGGCCTCACCACTCATATTACCTCGTTGCTTCCGCAGTCAGGTTTATCGCGAGAGGTGCGCGTTCGAAGGGTCGAAAGGCCTACTTTCGCAAGTTTGGGCCCGCCCACAATCAGTGGGGCATGATGAAGGAGCGCGCTCTCCTGTGCATGCTGGATCGGGTGAGGTGGAAGTGCAGAGCATGGGTTTGACCAAGTTTCTCTCCTGCCAGGAGAGGTTTCAGCTTGGACGTTGGATGTGCACACTAACTCGTCTTTGCATCTAGCCATGACGATACAAGTCCCACACAGAAGTAACACTGGGGAGGGGCAGGGGGGAACACTGAGTGACACGAGAACGAGGGGTAGTGTCGCGCTTCCGTTCCCCGTTTTTGTTGCATTTGTTCGGGGTGGGCCGGAGGGGTTGACGAAGCAGAGGCTCTGCCCGATGTGGTCAAGGCCTTCAGTGCCCTCGGGAAAATGTAAGTCTCGAGTAGGCAGGAACTCGGGTTTCCCGACGCTTTTTGACGAGTGCGTCTTGGATTTTGACAATCCAGTTTTCGTGGGATGTTTGCAGCGGGAGTTCGCGTCAAATCTCAGACTGGGTCTCCTCATTTTCACGATGGTGCCGTCAGGCCAACCCGAGTCCCCCGCACCCGAGTCGTAAACGTCTCCCTGATGCCCACCACCCGTGGCCAAATACAGGTACCGGGCAGCTGTACGCGCACGCCGCGGCCGCGGTCGCCCTGAGGGCGAGCGCCTGGCCCTCCCGAGGGCCAGGCCCGCCCCGCTGCCGCCACGTGTGCCCAGCGCGTGGCCTCCTGGTGTCTTCTGGGCCTCCCAGGTGGTCCGAGCAGAGGGGGTCGGAGGACCGCTCCGTATCGCCGATGCAGCGGCGATGCGGCTCCAGGTGGAGCTCGATGTGTTTCACGTCGACGTCGCCGTTGCATCGCCGACGTCGCCGGTGCATCGCCGGTGCATCGCCGATGTATCGCCGATGCATCGCCGATGCATCGTCGATGTATCGGCGATACGGTGCGATCCTCCGACCCCATCTGCTCGGACCCCATCTAGGAGGCGTCTGTGTTTGGCATGCTTCAGCGGTGATCTCTGGGCTTCAATCCCTGTCTCACGATGGAGGGTCGGATGGTTTCTCGCCCTGGCCTTGTCCAGGTCTCGTGCCCACCGTGCCAAGGAGGCGCGCTGCTTCTCAATGGGATGTGCTCCAAAGTGCGAGACGTGGAACATGGGCTCTCGCGTAATCCCATTAGGCGGCTCAAGAACAGCCGATCCGAGCAGTTGGTTTACATTTTAAGGGCGGCGAGGCGATTTGTTAGTTCTGCACGCAGGGGTCCTTGGGCACCACACGTGCGAGCGAGACCGCTAGGAGAGCAGCAGGACAGCACGTATTTACAATGCCGACGGGGCTTCTCAGTTAGCCAGGCTGCAACTCAGCCCCACATGCACCGTCGTCTGCCTAGAGCTCGACAGGCGCCTCATGGAACAGCTATCAGTATGAACCTACAACCCTATCGATGCCCTGAGGAGTCAAACTGGCTGGCGTGTGACGTTTGCGCCAGCACTCCATCGCTTACGCGACCAAGACAGACGAGCGCCATCCATGCACCCATGCACATGTCTTGCCAAGGGGACTTGTCGCGTGCACTCCATCGAGTCTCCCATTCTCAGGCGATCGCAAACATGGATCAAGGGGGCGTGGTTTAGCAACGGGTCCCGTTTCCAACGGGCCCTGGCCACATTTTCGGGAGGGCACCTCCCCCGATCCATGGAGTTGTCGACCGCGCGCCAAATCCGTGGATCGCTAATCCATGTTTGCGCGCCCCCGACATTCGGGGGCAACGCTAAGGGGGGATAGGCTCAGGGGGGACGCATTGACCCCCCCCACTTACCCACTGCTCGCCGCTGCGGGCCCGATAGCCTCGCCCCGCTCAGGAGCGTGTGGATCGCATGGTCCACCCCCAAAAGCGTTGCCCCCGCCCCTCCCCCCCAAAAAAAAGAAGCGTTGCCCCTCCCCCCCCCTCCCCTCCCCCCCCCCCCCCCCCCCCAAAGCGGCGGTGCGCCTCCCCCCCCCCTAAAAATGCGTTGCCCCTCACTTGCGTTACCAGTGAGGCGTGTGCGGAGTGAGAGAGAGAGAGAGAGAGTGAGAGAGAGAGAGGGAGATCCCCCAGAGCCACGAGGGCACGGGCCGTGGTTCTGTGAAGCGGTGCGCTCTCGTCCACGCTCGGCCCTGAGGGCCCACGGTGCTCAGACTCCACGGGTGCAAAACAGAGGGAGTGTCCCCCCTGGTGCGAGAGCAATCCACCCTGCCCCGAGCGATCAACACCCAGGAGCTTCAGCACAGTCATGCTTACGTTATACATGCTGGCCCAGGACGTGTGAGATTGGCGTGTGTGTGTGTGTTCTTGATGTATTGGATTGGTGTTGCTCTTGTTGGCTGCCTCATGTCGCTGTTCTTGGCGTGAGATATAGAGGTGTTTAATTTCGGTGGCATACTAAGTATGCGTGATGCCTGTTCTGGCTGTACGTAGTGCATGGTATCGACGTGTGTTGCCTCTCAATGTGTGTGGTGCGTGTGGCCAGTGGATGTGATGGTGTGCGTCCTTGGTGCGTCTAGAATTACGGTCTCGATATATGGTCATTGCGTGCGGTAGTGTTTTTTGTATAACTGTATGTTCGCGTTGTTTGCCACATTGTCGAAACATCTGTCAGCTGTGTGTTACTGGGGTATGTTACTGATGACGTTTAGTCATGTGTAGGTTTTTGGTGCCCGTTATTGGTGTGTGGAAGTGGTGTATGATGGATGTTCGTGGATGCTATGTGTGTACGTTATGCTTGTATGGTGTCGGTGATTTTTGGCGCATGGGATGTATGCACATCCATGTTGTTTGCCAGTGGTGTTTGTTAGTGGTGTCTGTCAGTTGTGCATAATGCACGGCGTATGATCGTTGTGCATGTTCACGAAGTGTGTGATTGAAAACGTTCTCAGTGTGTACTCTTTACGTGCGCATGTGATCTAGATGCACATGGGTGTTATGACGCCTTGACGGCGTGACGCCGTGACGCCGCCCTGGTGAGGTTGTCTGTTCGTTTCGCCTGTTCTACATGCCTGCTCGGTGTGTTGTCTGTGGACTCTTGGGGATCCCAGGGCCTTGGCGGCCGCGGCATGCAAGGCCGGCGATGCGGGGCAGACAGGGACCACCCAGACTATCGGGGCTTGGCGGCCGCGGTACGCAGGGCGGGCGAGGCGACATACCCAGGGACCATTATTGAGGCTTGGCTTTCTGCAGGGCGAGCGAGGCGTCGTCCCCAGGAGCACCCTGGACTGTTGGGGCGTAGTTGCTGGGGTTTGCGGGGCGGCCAGGCGGGTCGGGGGCCTTGGTTATCAGAATGCAGCTTCCCAACTTCTCACATGGGGAACAGCCCTGCGCTCCAGGACTTGGCAAGGAACATCTGCTCGGGAATGGGCGGAGACGGCAATGCTGCGAGGGTGCAGTCAAGACGCTCAAACAAGATCCACTTTGGGATCACGAGGAGCTATGGTTTTCGGGCCTATTGCGAAGGCCTTACGGCCGGTGCCGCCGACCCTGAAGGGGAAGGACGACGGCGGCGGCGGCGGTAGCGACGACGACGATGCTGACGTGGGTTGAGTCCTCAAACGTGCTTCTTGGGTTTCTTCCGAGCGCTCTCGGGGGCCTCTGGGGGGATGTTTGGGGGCCTCTTGGGAGCCTCTTGGGGCCTCTTTGGGCTTCCTGGGGGCCTCTTGGGGGCTTCTCGGGGCTGAGGGCTCGAAATGTCCGTTCGGGTCCCCCGTCTGGGCTCTCTCTTGGAACCGTCTTGGGGGCCTCTTGTGCCGTCTTGGAGGCGTCTTGGGCCGTCCTGGGGCACTCTTGGGCCGTTTGGGGACTCTCTTGGAGGCCTCTTGGGCCGTCTCGGGGCGACCTTGGGGGCCTCTTGGGCCGTGTTGGCGCGTGGGGAAGCGGAAGAGGCGAGAACGCCAAAATTCTAGAAAAACGTATGGGAAATCCATGATTTTTGCTTCTTGGGGCTCTCGGAGGAACGGTCCTGGAGGCCTCTTGGGGCGTCTCGCAGGCCTCTTGGGCCGTCTGGAGGCCGTCAAGGCGTCTTGGACAGATCATTCGGCGATTCGGGGCACTCTTTGATCGTCTTGGGGGGCTCTTGGGGCACTCTTGGCCCGTCTTGGGCTTTTTTGGGCTCCGGGATTCCCCGGGGGGGCGGCGTAAAAACCCGGGACCCCCCGGGACCCACCCCGGGACCCCCCCACCCCCCGGGCGGGGAAGGGATCAAAGGGAAGGGGCTTCCGTTCGACTTAGTTACGACGTTGCTCAATTTCACTTTGGACTGGCACGCTTCAAGAGGAGGCCCTGGGAGAGGGGTAGAAGCAACGACGCTGTGGGGAAAGGGGAAGGAACGACGACGACGACGACGACGAAGAGGGAACAGACGGAGAAGCCTCTTCCACACGCCGACAGGGTCGGCGGATTTCTGACCCGAGCTCGCCGCGTCCAGAAGAAATTACCCTGCGACGTATCCAACCCATCGGCATCAAGGGTGAACAGAAGTCTTCCCGAGCCGAGAGGGATGACGACGACGACGACGTCCACAACGACAACGTCCGCGACGTCTCGGGAGCCTTGGTGTTAAGACCGCCGAAATGTGCCCCCGTTGATTTTGTTCTTCGAGGTTCGTCCGAGCTCACCACAAACGCACTAGCGATGGCCAGCATGGAAATTGGTGAGGTGGCTCGTTCCCACGGAGGCACAGGCCGACGACTCCCAATGAATGGGAAACCGGTGCTTAAGAGATGCGATAGTGACGCCCTTCGAAACACAGACGAGACACAGGCGCCCGGCACGCCCCACACTGAATGTGGGAGAAATTGCAGGTCCGAAGGACAATTTCGTCTAACAAGGTTCCACGATGGTAGTTCGGCCTGCGTGGAGGTGGCCCTCCACCGACGAACGAATGCGCGCGGAGTCAAAAGTCTGGCGTGACCCGACGCGTGTAAACATATGATATTGCAGGTCCGACGGGCAATTGCTTAAGCTGGGTATGTGGTATGTGGGAGAAACGACAGGTCCGAAGGACAATTGCGTCTCACTATCTTCCAGGCGGGTAGTTTGTCCTGGGTGGATTCGGTTTCCTCCGACGCCAAATGCGCGCGGAGTCAAAAGCTTGATGTGGCCCGACACGAATAAGCGGAATCGATTGCAGTTCCGAAGGACTACTGCGTAACACATTGCATTGGGTATGTTGGAGAAACAGCAGGTCCGAAGAACAACTGCGTCTACGTAATAATCTTCCAGGCGGAGGATGGCGAAGGTCTTTCTGTGGTTTGCGTGTGACGCCATTGTGCAGGCTCCCCCAACAGCCTTCGAACATGGCGACAGTTTCGCATTTCGCAGCCCCCACCCCCAGTATGGCGAGGTCTGTTTGGGGCTTGCCTGGGACCTCATTGTGTTGCCGTCTCCCCAGCAGCTTTCGAAAGTGGCGACAGTTTCATACGTCGCAGTCCCCCCAGAGATGTCGAGGTCTTCTTCAGGTCTGCGTGGGACCTAATTGTGTTGGCTCCCCCAAGAGCCCTCAAAAGCGGTAACACTCTTCATTGCGCAGCCCCCCAGGGATGGCGAGGTCTTTTGGGGATCTGCGCGGGGCCCCACTGTGCTGCTGCCCCCCCAGCAGCCTTCGAACGTGGCGACAGTTTTACACTTCGCAGCCCCCCAGAGATGGCGAGGTCGTTTTTTGCCTCTGCGTGAGGCCCCACTGTTGGCCCCCCCAGCAGCCCTCGAAAGTTGCGACAGTTTCACATTTCGAAGCCCCCCAGGGGTCCCGCACGATGCTGCCCTGCCCAGCAGCCCTCAAAAGTGGCGACAGTTTCACACGACGGTAGGGCAGGTAGTATGCAAACGGGTAAACAGGCAATAGACCAGAGGAGGAGGGAGAGGGGAGGCGGGAGGAGGAAGAGGAGGAGGCGGAGGATGAGGAGGAAGAGTTAGAGGCGGAGACTCCACGGCTCTATTCAAAACGAGAACTCATCCACGGCAGGGCTGGTAACACATGCCTTTCCTTATTCGGCGTTTCTCATGGGAGCACGACGATTGTGCTCAAAGGAGCTGGCACCGAAAATCGGCTCAGCAATTTGCGGAAGGCGTACTGCCGTATCTCCGACGTCGTTGCATTCTGGCCCCATTTGAGAGGCCTCCAGTCGTCGTTCTCTTCACGATCTCGTGTTTGGCCCGAAGGATATGTTGAACGAGCTGGTGCTTGAGCAACGGATCGAGGCGACACTCCCCAAGTGCAAAGAGTTGCAGCAGTACGCGGAG